CTATAATCTTATAGAAAAAATTAATAAAGAAATTTACAAAAATCTTCATAATGAAATATCTGAAAACGAATAGTCAGAAGCTCTCAAAAAAACAAAACCAAAGTCAGCACCTGGTATATCAGGTATAAGCTATCTGCTAATCAAAAAAGTAGAGCTCTTAGTACAAGAAGTTTCAGATATTTTGCTAATCTATGCGTACAAAGTGATAAAATACTAGCAAAATAGAAGCTAAACAAGTTATACCTAATACCTAAAAAAGATAACTAGGATTATAGCTTAGATAATATTCATCTAATTATTCTACTCAAAACCTTCTGCAAAGCTGTAGTTAGAGTGCTAACTCATAGACTAGACAAAATTCTGACAAAGCATAGTATACTAGAAGGACCAAACTACACAGGATTAATTGGAGATAGTATTGCAGTACTAATACATATACTAAACAATATTTTAGAAGATGCTAAACAAAAAGGTAATAAACTCTAGATCCTTTTCTAAGATATGCGTAAAGTATTTAATTCAGTTAGTCTTGAAATATTAAAAACTGCTCTGACAAGAATTAAGTTACCAGATATCATCATAAACTTTATTTTAAGTTTATATGAAAAACAGAAAATTAAAGTTGTTATAAGCTTTGGACTAACAAGTGAATTTGAAGCTGAAGATAGAATTGACTAAGAAGAAGTGATCTCTCTCTTGATATAGCGAATCTTTTATGATCCTCTACTCTGTATAATACAAAAAGCAGAAAATATAAGATACAAAATGGTAACAATTTGGCTAACTAACCTAGTATACAATAAAGCTAAGATACTACACTATCAACAAGCAGTATTAGTATATACTAATGATATAATGTAAATAGCTAAATCAAAAACAGAGCTACAAAGAATAATTAATATCTTAAGAGAGTTCTACAAAATTAATAATATAGAGATTAATCAGAATTATTAGTTTTAAATGCTAAGGAAAAAAACATAGTAAAAGATGAGCAGCATTCAATTAGTATGAAAAAAAAAAGAAGATACTGTATATGCAAAAAAAGATACAAACTCCTTTAGACATCTAGGAGTTTGGATCTCAAATAAAGACAGTAAAATTTGTAGTTTAAACATCATAAAAAATGAGATAAACAAAATATACAAGGCAATTAAGTGGAAAAAAGCATTAACAAGTCAGTTAGTATATATTAACAATAATATCTTATTGCCAAATATTGAATATAGATTTCAAATAGTTTTTTTAATGAAATCAACTTGTAATAAACTGCAAAGTCCAATATAGATTCTAATTAAAAACAAACTAGAGTTAGCAAACACTACAGTAAACTCTATTTGCAGCTATATTAGTTTTCTTAGTTTGAGATCAATTTGGCAAAATCAACTAGCATATTATTTCACAGAGCTAGTAATTCATCTAAACAGACCAGATACTCTTGATATAACTACAAGACTAAGAGTCAAGGAAAGTCAGCTACAAAGCAAGAGTCTACTCTCACCAACAAACAAAGAAAACAAGTTTAACTAAATAGTACCTAAGTATAATCTAGTACTAAAGGTTCTATACGAATCTAATAAAATAGGTCTCAAATCAATGAAATATTAGAAGACCCAGAAAAATTAGATATAAACAGAACTAAAATATATAGCTTGCTAAGAAAAAAAGAAAGTCAACAATTTGCTTTGAATGATAAAATAAATCTCTATACCTTAGAATAGTTAATAAATAGCTCGAGAACTTTTTTACTAACATGGTAACAACTTAAATATATAAGATCTATTAAAAAAAAAGGACATACCTCAAGCTAGTTTCTTAATTTAGAGCAGAAGGTCCTAAAAGAAAAAGGAAGTAGAAAAGTACTAGATAACCTTAAAGTCGAAGGTCTAAACAGAAGAGCAATAAAAATCTCTTTAAAGAAAATCACAAAAGATAAAAGGAAAAAGAAATAGATCCTACTTAAAAAAGATAGAGAAATTTACTTAGAAAAAGTAACAAAAAAGACTAGCTAACTTGTTATAGCAGAGCATTGGAAGAAAGATTTATAACAAAATGAAGAAATCAAAGTCTTTATCAAATGCAATAATTACAAGTTAAGAAATTTTAATGATAATATCTGCTCGATTAATCTTAAGTATGAAAACTAGTATCAAATAGTAGATGTTTTCAAAAAAAATAATACATGAAGACTTAAAGCTTTAATAATAGCACATACTAACAAAAAAGATATAACTAAAAGTGAAAGACTTAGTCAAAAAGTTATTATCAAAATCACAACAAGCAATTTGGAGAGTACAATCATACAAAGATTAATAGAAGACAATAATATGCAAAACGAATTAATTAATCTAAACTACAAGCTAAAAAAAAAGGAAAATATAGAATTTTATACAGACAGTACATTAATAGTAAACAGAGATTCAGAAAATATAAATAGAATGGAGATAGGATAGGTTTTTAAAGAAGAAAATAGAATAAATAATAGTATTAGCTTTAGTAGTAGAATAGAAAACTGGCTCTCCTCAACTCATACAGAACTTAGAGCTATCTGAACTGCTTTACTAATAGTATCTATTAACTCTAAAGTTTTCATATATGCAGATAGCAAATCAGCAATTGAAGCTATAGAAAAACACCAAAAAGAAGTTAAAATTAGAAGCTGGTTTAAAGCAAAAAACAGAAGTATCATAAGACAAATCATTGACTGCTGCAAAATAAAATGTTTAGAATTACTGTTATTCAAAGTTAAAGGCAATAGTGGAATTCTAGAGAATAATATAGCAGATAAGCTAGCCAAACAAGATATAACCTCAAGTAATATTTTTAAAGTACCAGAAACTTCTTTTGAAGATTTCAGGTTTACTTTTAAATAGAAAGACCAGAGTATTAATAGTACATTACAGTCATTTATAAACATTACAACTACAATAAACTATAAAACAGAATGGTCAGAACTAAGCAAGGTAGCAAATATTATTGCTCATAACCAGAAAAATAATTCTAATACTATGCTAAATTAGAATAACACATGGCAAGTACTTAAGACTCATTAAGGAAAAAAAGGAGTCAGCATGAAAAAAAGCAAAGAGCTTATCTTTCGTATAAAATGTATAAACAATATTTTGCCAACAAAAGATATATGTTACTAATGAAACCCAAAGCTATACAAAAGTCAAAAATATATAGCCTGCTATAGAAATGACAAATCATTCTATCATATTGCAGAATGTGAATTATATTAAAAAATCTGGGACAATTTAGAGAAGGAGGCAATATAGTTAACAAAACTCAAAGCTTCAACAAAGCTAAACTTAGCAATTAGCAAAACCTTGCTAAAAGAAGCAATTTACAGTAGGAATATCAGCACTAAAATAAACTACAGGAAAATGCTTCTAAGAGGTTTTACTAATAATAAACAACAAAAAGAGGTCTTCAAGATAATTCAATCTAATAATAAAGTAAACAAAATTCTAACTAGCTTTATTAAATACTTCTGAGAACACTTATATGAACAACTATAGAAATTTTGCTGTGAAATAATGATAGAATGGGAAAAGAACCAGGGTATCACAACTGCAGCAAAAAAGAAAAAAGGCAAAAAAAAGAAGAAACTAAACAAAGATAAAGAAAATATAAGACCTTCTGAATCACTAAAAGAAACAAAATCAGAAAAAGAAGCAAAAATTCAAAAGAAGGAAACTTTAAATAAAATTGATAAATAGGTAAAACTAGACAAGAAAGAGAAGTAGTTATATTTTAAAATTTAAATAAGAGATCTTGATATAGACTAGTAGTAGCCTCTCAATGATTAGAAGTTGAAAGTATATGTGTACAAACTAAAGCTTCTATGAGAGAAATAGTTGCTACAGCAGATCATACTTGAGCACCTAAAGGTAGCTGAGTGAGCTTAAAATAATCAAAAGGTGAATAGTTTAATATAAATTTTGTAATAAATTATCTTGTAGCTTATAGTAGCTTTTTTTTAATAAAATAACAGACAAGATCACCTAAGGAAAAAATAAAAATAAAAAATAAAACTCATCTATACTGCTATTGGTACTCTATATAGATAACAAATACAAAAACTAAATAAAATAAATAAAAACTATAACAAATATACTATATAAAACTAAATTAAATAATAAAACTAAAAATAAAATAAAAGAAAAATAAAATAATAGAAAATTATAGGTATAACAGTATCTCCTATACTCTTTATAAGTAACTTCTAATTTGGTAACTACTAAGCTTGAGGTATTTATAATTTTATAGTTATTTTCAATTTGATAATATTTGAATAATTACTTTAATAGTATTACTAGAATATAGATTTTCTTTAAACTTAATATCAGATATAGATTGTATATACATCAATTTCTATTTGTAGATATTTTTATATGTTAGTGAGGTTCAGAATATGTTTTGTAATATAAGCTACTTCTAGTAATAAATTTTGTAATACTAATATACTACTATTACATAATTAGTATTTTGATAAACTAGTATATTCTTGTTTTTTATATTATTACTACTAGCTTAGTGTATTATACTATTTTAAATTTTTACAAGCATATTTTTTGAATTTTAATCTGCTTTCTATATTTGTAGTAACCTTATTTGATTAGAAAAATTATAGTTACTCTTGTCAATATTTATATAATTTTAGTTCTTGCTATAGCTCTCTACTGATATCTACTATAATTCTATTCAAATATTTTACAAGTTAAATTTTCTCAAATCTAGTTAGCTACTACATTAAGTTAGTGTTACTAATTAGTGAATTAGACTTACTTGTATCTATTCTAATTTACATCTTTCTAGTACTTAGGTTTTATTTTGAATCAAGTATTAACTAGCTTAACTATCAAAAGTTGTACTACTTTATCTACTTAGGATTTCTACTATGCAGGTCTCTTATACCTGTATATTCTATTAAGATTTATTTATATAATATTAAATTTTTCAAATACTTTATCTAGAGATAGTACTCATATAAGAATCATTCAAGACACCTGAGTAGCATCTACTAACCAGGTTATAGATATTGTTATCTAGTTGATCTAGTTATAGTAAAAAATTATTGATCAATCAAAACAATTGATAACATATAAACTAATTTTTTAAATGATCTAAATAGTAGAACTAATTACTTTTAACTCTGGTCAAATTTGCAGATCATTTAGCCAAGTTCAGAGTTTTTAATACCATAATCTGGCTAAATGATCTGCAAATTTGACTAAAGTTAAAAGTAATTAGTTCTACTATTAAAGCATTTTCTATTTTTTAGTTCTATCACTATCACTATGATACTTTATGACCTTCGAACTATTAGCACTATTATGTATTTACTATAAGTTCACATTCATTTATTTATACAACTTTAATTAAACTGCAAGATCATTATTTATGCTAAATCTATGAAGATCTTTAGAATTTAAACTTTGATCGAATCTCTGAACTTAACAATTTTGACTTTAGGAATACAACTATATATTATATAGTCCCATTCTCTCTTTATTTTGAGTAATCTCATTTATAACTTGTAAATAGCAAATACTTGTCTTGTACTTTTTGATTCTTTCATATAGTGATTATTAACATATTTTTTAGTAAAATTTTGTTATCTTGAAATACATGAAGTACGTAAAGATTATGGCAATTAGTGTTCGAATTGGGTCAGGTTAAGTTTGGGAGTTTACAGGCTGAGCTGAGCTTGTCTAGTTTAGGCTCAAATTTTAATATATAGGTCAGGCTTGGGTTTGGGCTCACTAACTATTGGGTCAGATTTGGGCTTTTATAAATATACTTGATTGTTAAATTGGGCCTAATAATAACTAGTACTAATAAAAAACATAGCCAATTAGAAAGCATATATAAAATTAATAAGCAAAATATTGTTATTGTTTATTTTTCTTAATTCAACTATTAATTATGCATTATATTATTATATCTTTTATTTGTTTAATAACTATATTATCGTTATTGTATTTTAATTAATTGATAATTGTAGCTATATAGATAAGTTAAAATTTTAATAAGTAAATCTATATTAGCTCTGAAGTAAAGTTGTTCAGAAGAATAAAATATATATACTATAAAATTCTTATATAATTTAGTTAACCTTTTATTAATTCACTTTTGCACTTTACACTTCTGCGACCAAAAATTACTTTTTGTTCGCCAATAAGTAAAGTGCAAAAGTGAATTAATAAAAGGTTAACTAAATTATATGAAAATTTTATAGTATATATATTTTATTCTCCTGAACAAATTTACTTAAGACATCAATATAGTTTTACTTATTAAAATTCGATTTATCTATATAACCACAATTATTGATTAATTTTTAAAAAATTTTTTAAAAACTAATTTTAATCAATCAATGATCATAGCTATATAGATAAGTCTAAATTTTAATAAGTAAATCAATATTGATATAAAGTTATTGACTATGAAATTTTTATGTGATTTAGTTAACCTTTCACTTTTGTAGGCTAAGTCAGACTAGCCTGGACCTAATTTAAAATAAAGTCTAGTCCAATCTGTTTTTTGGGCTTTTTACTAGGCTTGGGCTTTAATTGGGCTCAAAAAATTTTTTTAGACTTGGTATCAGGTCTAGACAAGCCCAGCCTGCTGGCAATAGATTTATAATGAAAGGCCTTTTATAATTTGCTCACAATTAATAACATTTTAAAGGGTATAAAATTTTTATTAAAGTAATAATATATATTCAAAGGGTAAGGGTTACAAAATGTTCGTTGAATTTTTGTAATATTTAAAATTCTATATAATATTAATAATATTGCTATTCTTCTTTAGAAATAATATCTGTGAAACAGTTTCTAGATTAAGACAAGTTTGTTTTAGAATTACTTGATTCTCTGCATCAGAGAATAAATGTTCGCTTAGAACTGAAGTAGCTGGGATGGATAAATATTTTTTCGCCAATTTGTTCAAATTTAAAAAGTCTTTTTCTCATTCTTTCTACTAGACTAATGGTTGAGTTATCTTTGAAACAATTAGCACCTTACTAATATCTAAATATTTGTCTAGTTCATCATTAGATGAATTATCATCAGTAATACTATTGTTATCAAAGATCGAATCGAGAAATTATTAGTTGAAATTATATTAGTAGATATTGTTTATATTGGTGTTTTACTAATAATATTATTAAGTTCTTCTTAGCACGTTCTAATAGTCTCTTTTCATATATTTTTAGGCTAAGGTGCATTTTCTTGAGCTATGGGTCCAGTAAAGTTGCTAGAAGGCTAGTGAATTTTGGGTTGCTCCAATAATTCCAAAGCGAGTTATAGATTGCTTGTTTAACTTGAGTAATCATTAACTAAATATTAAAAGTATTTTGAGCATAGTCTTCTTTCTCATTTTCACTGTCGCTATCTATATTTGATTCTAGAAGACAAATATTAGTATTAATATTTTATGAACTGTTATGCTGAGTCTAAAAGCATATACAGTACATTGTGAGTTGTTCTCCTAACCAGTTTGGAATTTAAAGAAATTTAGTAACCTTACCATTTTCTTCATTAAGATTATCATTAGTTAAAGACAAATTTGAATCTGCTACGAATTTGAACTTCAAGAATTCAATTATAAGGTATATAACTGATAATATAGGATACTTATCAGCACTAAATGTTTCTGTTGCTTGGTCAAAATATATAAAATTTTAAAAATTTTTAAAAAAAATTAATTATAAAATATTTTTTAATATAAACTTTAAAAATTTATTATTCAAAAACTACTTAGTAAAAATAAAAAAATTCTTTAATAAAGTTTATAGAGTATGTTTTCAATAATATATTTTATATATAATATAGACTCTATTTCATTAATATTTTATTAAATTATTTAAAAAATAGTATTTACTCTTTAATTTTCCAGGCAAATTTGTCTAGAATACAGTTTAAAGGATACAAAAACAAAAATGCATATCTCTATTATTCAAAATAACTCATCCAAATGTTAAATTCTAATTGGATCATCTATGTGATGGTAATGTATATGTTTGTTGTCTTATCTAAATTGTATATTAACAGATCACTTGCCAAATTAGAAAGTAGTACAAACTTGCTGATCCTTTGTCAAGAGTTCACTAAATTCTCCACTTTTTGTTATTTTTTGATAGAAGAAAATTTAAAAGACCCAAGGAGAAGAAAAAACAATACCAAAAGGAACTTTAAAGAAAGAAATATACTAGATCCAGTTCTAGTATTATAGTTAGAGCTTTACATCTTATTTCTACAGCTTCATTCTTCTTCTTATTTTGTTTTAATTCATAGATAATACTTCGCATGTATATATAAGTTTCTATATACATACCTCATCAAGAGAGAGTCTCTTATAACTAGACTTGTACTACTTATAACTGGACTTCTATATTCATACTAGTTAAAATATATAGTCTACTAAGTGAGTATTAGAAGTACTACTAGACTTCTAAGATAAAAACAAAATTTTTCATTTGCTCTAATATTGGTATTAATAATCAACAGAAAGAGTTAATGCCTTTCTATTTGAATACTTTATTTTTATTCTATTTTTATTTAGATAATAATAATTAATAATATTATTTTAATCAGTATAACATCTTTTTTAACTTTATTTTTTTTTTTGTTATTAAGGCTACTTCCTTAGCCGATTAGATTTTATTAGTTTGTTATTACAAAACTATTACATAAACAGTTTCCTAAGGTTTTACAGTTACGTGATGAGTATGCAACAAGCTATATATACAACTTTAGTCATTGTCTAACTTAAGTAGTCTGCTATACAGATGATCAACTATCTGTTAGTTCTATACTATGCTACCATACCTGCAACTCACCTGTGAGTTACCTATTTAAACACTCTGATCATTAACCCTTCCTCTATCTCAAACTAATGTCATCACTATGACCAACTGCTTAAGCTAGCTGGTTCATCTATGGATCCATTCTCTGCACAGCTTAGATTCTCTTGGGATGTATATGCTTAACATATTATAAGCTGCAGAGCTCTAGTTAATCTCAGAAATAATTCCTACTAGAGTAGTTATATGCATATTTCATAGATTTACCTAGATTAGACCCTTGTTAATATTTGTACAAATCTAGTTCCTGCTATGGCTATCCACCAGATATAGTCTTCCAAGTTCCAGCTAAATGTTTCACAAAGTAGATTCTCCTAATCTAGTTAGCTGCCAAGCTAAGTTAGTATTGCTACTAATGCAAGGCACTAGGCTGTATTATACAGCAGACTTACCTGCACCTATTGATTTCACATCCTTCGTACTCAGATTTTTCACTAGATCAGGCATTAACTAGCTTGACTGTTAAAATCTATACTACTTCACCAAACTTAGGATTTCTACTATGCAGATTCCCTGCTCATAGATCCTATCAAGATTTATTCATATAATATAACTTGAACATTGTATCATACTTCCAATATTTGATTAATATTAGTACTATATGATTTATAGGGTTATAACCTCCAAAAACAAGCAGCTTTCTGTAGATCTTTAGAATAAGACCCTGTTTAGATATTCTACTCTTTTAGGG